TATCCTGACGGGAATGGAATCAGAATAATTGTAGTTCCCCATGAAAGGGAGGTTAGAAACATCTTGACTGTGGTCAAGGTTTCAAGGGGAATAAACGCACCTTAAGGACACGCTTATGCGGAGTGCGGGAACTCCAAACTTCTAGGTTGAATTGTTAAGTTGAAATTAGGGTTAGGTTAGGGATTCCACGGCAGGAAACCCTAAAATGAGTGCGGCGACTCTTTGACCTAATGCTAGGGGTAATTTGGTAACTTTGACATTGGTGAAAATCAGGGTTTGTAAGGGTTTGAAGTGTGGAGACTATTGGCACGGTTAGACCTGACCTTCGGATGTGCAATACGATAAAATGGTGAAAAGATTGCGAGGAAATTAAATCATACATCAGCAGAAATTTAAATGCGGAAAGTAAACGCGATTGTTATGTTCGCGAGGTTACAATTGAGAAGCAGATACAAATATAATAATGATTAGGAAATTTAAAGGCAATCTGTAGAGAAAAACTGGAAAAAAACGTTAGTGATAGTTAAACAGGAATATGACCAATGGTAAAAGCAGTTAATATTGAGAGATAAAATGCAATCGGGATATGTATCAGGGATTTTGAAGAGGAGATCTTAATTTAATAAAAACTGTTTTAGTCTTAAAATTTTTTTTAGAAAACTACTTTAATCTTTGTTTTTAAAAAGTTTAATTTGAATTTTAAAAAAAGAGTTTGATTTTTTTATTAACGAAAAGTTTAATTTTATTATTTTAAAGAATTTTATTTCTTAATTAACAAAGAAAAAGAAAATATGAAAATTAGAGTTATTATTTATTAAAAAAAACACAGAGAAAACAAATCAGTTAATTATATGAAACAAATAATATAAAACCAAAAAATTTTGGGTCGGGCTGGTTACCACCTCCAGACCCGACCCGAGCCCATGATATAAGATAACAACATGAAGACATTAGGGTTCAGAAACCCTAATCCTTACTCCAACGGCCGCCCAATTCCTCTTGTTCTCTCTCGCTTGTGTCTATTCTCTCCTCTCTTCGCTTTCCTTCAGTCTCTCTTCGTGTTCATGATGAAAAACCTGAAATTAGATGCAACAACATTAAAGGTGACGATATTGCGTGTTCCTCGCTTACGTTTTGTTGGTGGTGACGAATAACGAGGCGATGATGAGATCTCTCTGTGCTTCGAGGAGGGGTTTGCTCGTCGTGGATGGAGGTGGCGTTGGTTGACCTTTCTCCGTTGGGCTTTCGTACTTCTCTTTCGTATGAGTTGCGGCCCTTCTTGCTAGCGTTTTTGTCTAGTCTTTCGTACGCGGTCGCTAGGGTTTTAACGAGGTGATCCCATTCCTTTTTATATCCTTTTGACCTTCATGATATTCGTGGGCTTTTTGGGTTTACGTTTCACTTTGGGCATTGATTTTTCAGAAACCCTATTTTTAGATTTGATTGAAGTTTGATACGATTTCCTTCCTTTTCTGGTACTGATTAGATTGTATTTTCTCAATCTTCTTAAAACAATCTGAATTTATTTTGATCCTCTTTGAAAAAACCGGATTCGTTTTGATTTGTGGATATCCAGTTTCTTCATTTCCTCGATTGGATTGAATTGGATTTCTCTGACATGCTTTGGATTTGGATAACTGGATTCACATTGGTTTTCTGATGCAGGTTTTTCAGTATGGTTTTGATGTTCATGACAGCTTTGTCGTCCACATCATTACGAACCCGGTTCTGATTGTTTGATTTGAGATGGTTTCAATTATCCCTTGGCTGAGATGTGACCGTGAACTGGGCCATGATGTTGATGAACTGAGCCTTGAGCTTCTGTGCCTCGATTTTCCTACGCGACCCTGGGATTACTGTGACTGATATGAACTGGTTCTGCTGTTTGAACTTGTTCTCCTCTTTTCCAGATTGAACTGTTTTTTACTGCTTTCTTCTGGTATGATCTTGCGCATTCACTTGCTCCTTTTGGTATTAATGTGTGATTTGGTGATTTCATTTTTGATGCCCTGTTTGGTTGTTGGAAAGTTCCTTGTTGATTCTTTGTAAACATTAATGTTGACCCTGATCTTCTAGTGTGGCTTGTTCTTTTTCTTATGGGGTTGATCTTGTTCTTTTGATTGAACTTGTTCTTAGGTCTGTTATGAGTTTTGGGGACTGCTGATGTTGTTTGACTCTTGTGTTTCAGGTATTGGAAAATTTCGAAAAAATGGTTCAGACCTATTGGCATCTGGGTCTGAACTCGGATTGGCTCTGCTGTTTAGCTTTGTATCAGTTTGAGAACAACTTGGAATTTAACATATTTACTTGATGACGACACCATGTTTACTTGATGGAATGGTGCTTAGCTTGACTTTGAAACAGAATCCAATTTTCGGCATGTGCCCCTTTTCAGTTAATCATTTATCGGCCCGAACTTATTTTATCTCTTCATCTTTCTCGGTTGTCCCGTATTGATAAGAACAGAAATTGCTTGATCTGACGCTGATGGCGCGGATCGGTAACGGGGGTAGGATGCGGCTTTGGTCGTGCCACTCCCGGCACTCGATGATGACAATGTTCTGAGACTGTCAAACAAACTTCTAACATCTTTTCCATTCTGTTTTATTTTTTCTATTTTTTCAGGTGATCAAGAGTTGCTTGAAGAACTCAAGGGAGGCCCAATGAAGAATACTTGTAGTTTTTCTTTTTAGGGCTTTAGGACCTAGAATAGGTACTCATTGTAAATGTATACCTTTTGTAAATGAAGGATCATCATGAATAAAGTTCAAACCTTACTTCCATTTCAAATTGTAATGAAATAAAATCCCATAAATATTCATTTCTATTTTCTCAATTATGAATTTAAATATCCATGACTAATCATCCATAAATTATTTAAATTCAACTTTGATTTGTAGCTTTATGAATATTCATGAATAAAACTCACAAATATTTAAACTTAACCTCTCCTTTGCCTTGATCAATTAGATGACATCCCGTAACATAAGCAAATCCAACTGAAATCCTTTTGATTACGTGACTTCTCAAACCACGCTTTAATAGCATTCCCTCATTTTCAAAATGAACTCGACTCATTACGAGAATATAAACTGCTCATGTAAGCAAATCCCTCGGGAATAATGTCTTATTTGTCCCAGGATTACGGATTTTACTTAAAATGACCAAAACGCCCCTGGGGTAATTCCTGCAAAACAAATCCCACTCAAAACTTGGTTAGTGATTAACAGATGCAAAATGAAATGTTTATGTGAAATGACTGACTAAGTGTAAGGGTAAAATTTTGGGGTATTACTTGAACTATAGGGGTTTCAACAGCAGGGAGGTGGGATCTTAAGGTCAAAAATTAGGGTGCAACAGATGCCCCTATTTAAGTTACTTCTATTCGGAGATATGGAGATTGAAATCTCCGTCTTGACGAGATAGGAGGGACTTAAATACAAACATTGTACGAATTTTTGGCCATAAGAAGCCACCGAATGCAAATGATATGCAATGATATGAAATGCAAAACAAAGAGGGTCCTGTGGATTTAAGGCGTCACATGGGAGAAAACTAGACACGACATGCGAGAAACAAAGGAGTGACAGACCCAACGAAGTGGGACTCCACGGGGACAGGATACGACCATCAATGGGAAATCTCCAAAATGTAACAGCGACACATACGCCCAGAATATAGCGTTTTAGCAGCAGATGAGAAACTTGTAATCGAAGGATAACTTATTATCACCACGGAGCAATCCAGATGGCTGTAATATCCAAAGCGAATTCTCTGATCGAATCTGTTGCACCCTAAAATTTGCCCACCGGTTTTTCCGACTTTGACTGGCTTTTTCTTCGTATTTTCATATGCATATCATTTAGGTCAATCATCATATTGCATAACTAACTAGTTTATCTAGCTTTTTCTCTTTTGTGAAACTAGAAATTTGGTGCAAGAAAGTGAAGGCCTTGATTAGTCAAGATTTAAGGGAAGAATCAACCTAAATTGTCCTATCCACATTCAATTTTCTCTTTAAAGGTTCACCCGACTTTTGGTCATGATCTTCCCAGAATTAGGTCGTGAGTTGGTGTCAATGCTCTTTGTAATTGACAAGTTTTTGTGATTGGATGTGTTGACCTCGAAGTAGAATTCAAGAGGAATCATTGGGCTTTATTAGGGAGATTTGATTTTTTCTAAGTTATGTCAAGTTTAACTTTTAAAAGAAATAATGTTGGTGTGCTTGGTCCATTTTGAAATTGTGGTTATGAGGGGATAAGAGATCGGTTTTACATGGATTTGTCGGTATAAATTGTTATCGAGACACATCCAGAGTTGTGCAAAGAACATATTGCATGTCATACATCAATGTTATTGCCAACACAAAGGAACAAAGATGTTGCTATGATTGACACAAAGAATCAGATCATAAAATGACCACTTCCATTTTCTTTTCCCCGTGGGATATTTTTCTAAAAAAAAAAGGAGGTCAAACGTACTAGCTTCAAATGAGTTTACATGAGGAAAACGACACATCATAAACCACCCGATACAATAATTTTCAAATATAATGCTATAATGTGCTTTCAATTACAGTATGCCTTATTGTTAAATCTTGCAAGTCCAGCCTCTTAGCCAAATTCCAAAACCTGCTTTATGTACACATCCTGCTACAAAATGCAAAAATCCCCTGCATCAAAACCGTCAAGAAAATAACGATCCAAAACCTTGTGCCAACCTGAAAGCAACAGCAAAACCTCGACCAAACATCACCATTACCCTGCCCCTCCTTCTAACACCACCAACATCAACAACAATACAGAGGAGAATAACAAATAATAACAGATAAAAAGAATGGGCAAGTGAAGAAGAACGTTACATTACACTGTGCTTTCTCTTCTCCACTTACTTTACTTACCCTTTCTTTGCTGTTAGTTACCGATTATACTGAATTGGAGATTAATTGATAATGTGTGTTGATAAATTAAGATATGTGTGAAATTTTCGATTTGGAGAAAATGGGAAGTGTTTCGTCTGAAGACGTTTCTGAGAGATGTGGAAGTTATAGTCCGAGTGCTGACATCAGCGAATCGGAAAGTTCTAGTAGCTTTTACGGTCGACGTTTTGATGCCGAGGGAGCTTCAAGCTCAGTGAATCTCTCGCCGCGTCAACTCGCCGCGCATTTCAACTTACCGACGGCGGCGCAAGTCATGCTTCCGGTCATCGGTGGTAAAGACGTCGTCGTTTGGGATCATAAGCGTGACCTGGATTTGTCCGAAGTTGAAATGATGAAGGAAAGATTCGCTAAGCTTATTTTAGGAGAAGACATGTCTGGTGGTGGAAAGGGGGTTTATACTGCACTTGCGATCTCTAATGCAATCACGAATCTCTCTGCGACTGTGTTTGGAGAGTTATGGAGGTTGGAGCCGTTAGCACCACAGAAAAAAGCGATGTGGCGTAGGGAAATGGAATGGCTTCTATGTGTGAGCAATTCGATTGTTGAGCTGGTGCCTTCTGTGCAGCAGTTTCCAGGTGGTGGAACTTATGAAGTGATGGCGACGCGGCCTAGGTCTGATTTGTACATCAATCTTCCTGCTTTGAAGAAGCTTGATGGGATGCTGTTAAGTATGCTGGATGGGTTTTGTGATACACAGTTTTGGTATGTTGAAAGAGGAATTGTGTTGGCTGATTCTAAGGATTGTGATGAGTATGGTAGACCTTCTGTTAGGCAAGAAGAAAAATGGTGGCTTCCTTCTCCTAAGCTTCCGCCAAATGGGTTGTGTGAGGATGATAGGAAACGGTTGCAACAGTGTAGGGATTGCACTAACCAGATACTTAAGGCTGCCATGGCGATTAATAGTTCTGTTCTTGCTGAAATGGAAATTCCTGCTGCTTATGTGGAATCTTTGCCAAGGAATGGAAAAGCTTGTCTAGGGGATATAGTTTATCGATACATAACTGCTGGCCAGTTCTCACCTGAATGCCTTCTTGATTGCCTTGATCTATCATCTGAGCACCACACACAGGATATAGCTAATAGAATTGAGGCTGCTATACATGTATGGAGGTTAAAAGACGTACAGAGACTTAAAAATTCGGTGAAAGCCCGACGGTCTTGGAGTGGGAAGGTAAAAAGCCTTGTTGCCGACGGTGAAAAGAACCATTTTCTTGTCCAACGGGCAGAGACACTACTGCAAGCTTGAAACACCGGTTTCCTGGGCTCCCTCAAACAGCACTAGATATGGCCAAGATACAATACAATAAGGATGTAGGACAGTCCATTCTTGAAAGTTATTCCAGGGTGACAGAGAGCTCTGCCTTTAACATAATGGCGAGAATCGATGATGTCCTATACGTAGACGATACTATCAAACGATGCGCAGCTGCAGATTCTATCTTGTTCGGCAGGGGAGGTTTTGGTGGTATGCCTATCCAGAAGCAAATGACTTAACAACAAACCCTTTGCAACATTGCTACACAAGCAGGATCTCGCAACCACATTCACAAAAATTACCACACGGTGAAATAAGGTACAGCTGCTACTACTCCTCCCACACCAGACAGACAACCTGCAATGCAACAAAAGAAACACATAAGTGAGAAGGTAGTACAGGCAGCTCTGCACACTAGCCTGCTACAATACTCTGCACACACTACCCTGCTACTACTCCTCCATGCCAGACCAACAAACACACCTACAGCCTGCATAACCTGTACAAAAAGGACATCACAGAATGAGCAAGAAGGAGGGTTTTTCTCACAACAAAAAATCTTTTTTTCAAGACTGACTCCACCACCGTTTTCCTCGGAACTGAAGCATCAAAACCAAGATTCCATTCTTCATTTTGGGATCCTCATCACAAATCCTCTCTCCTTCAACACTTCTTAAAAAAAACCTCCAACAAAATTTCATTCACCATTAACTAACCACTCAAAAACCTTTTTCTCCAAACCTGTTACAAATCACTACCAACCAAAACTTCTGCACCTAGAACAAATATACAACAGCTTTGAATCCTTCCCTCATTCACCACTTTCATCCATCTTCAACCTCTGAAAAATAAATTCAACCTTCAACTCATTTCAATCAAAACTTCATACATCATCTTCTTCTGTTTCCAATAAACTCCCATCAAACTACAGAACCTCATCTCTGTGCCTTAATCACATGCCGCCTTGCCAAAATAACCTCGCAACTACCTTGAATCATTGATATGGAAACACGACCTTCTCGCTCAAAACAAACACCTGTTTAAAAACCAAACGTAAACCATATTCCCAGAACTCATCATCTTCAGACCCACCAATAACTTTGTCATCCTTCGCAGTTATCTTTTTCATCCAAGAAACAACCAACAGAACCCCTGTAACCACACCTCAATCTTCCATTTCACCTTCAGATTCAACCTTCCAGCAACCCCTATTCAAACCCCTTTTCAGATGAGAACCCATTTCTGGCAAAACCCAGCGAACCCACCGTAAATCATCCGCTTCATCTTCTCAAATATCATCTTCCTCTTTTTCTTTCAACGTCCGTAACCCTTTAACCCTCATCAACTCAAACCATTCTTCTTCCAACCACACACCATCATAAACCTAACTCGTGGAAACCCATTCACAGAAGTAAACTCATTACCCATTTCAACCAAATCACGACCTTAATCGAACTCAGAAGATGAAATCCAAAATAGTGAGAAGGAGAGAATAGTGTGAAAGCAAGATCAGAGGAGGTTGGGGTCGATATGACGTCTTCGCGGCAAAGATGATGAACCGCTTCGCTCAGTTCTTGCTTCTCTAAGATGGCTGAAGAAGGAGTCATGTTGTGGGTTATCGTGAAAAGGTGAGAACAAGGGCGAGAGAGACGATTGGGAAGAAGAAGGCTTTGTCACCTTTTGTTTTTAATTATTTTATATTATTTTAGTTATCAAACTTTTGTTTTTTATGATTTTAATTATTTTATCAACTTTTGTTTTTATGATTTTAATCATTTTATCAATTTTATTTTTTTGAATTTTTAATTTTTTTTTATTATTATTTATTTTATTTCTTTTCATAACTTTGTATATATAGCATTTTCTTATTATAAGTAAACTATTATTATATTCTTTTATAAACTTTTTATTATGTAAATATTATATATTTATTTTTAGTTTATAATATTAGAGTTTAGGATATTTATTATCATCTCAAAAGTTGGATTTTATTCTTCTTTTGTTATTGGACATTTTATTTTATTTCATCTGTTCTGGTCGATGACGAGACCTCCGTAAACCGTTATTAAGTCAACTTATTGATAAATGACGTTGGATCTGAGACCATTTCTTTTCAACGCTTTTTTCTCCTAAAACCTCGGCCCCGTACCGAGTGTATCTTTGAAAATATTTTCAAATCAATTCTTTGTATTGAATTAAAAAGAGAGGATTGGGTGTAGACCTCTTCCTCTCCGAATGTTGGGATGCCCACTGTAGTGAGGGTGGTTTGGATATTCGTCTTTCAATACGAAGACGCGACTTTATCCACCATCTCGCTTTCACAACTTCCTTCCACAATTTTCATACCTAAAACCTCGGTCCTGTACCAAGTGCATTTTCATTTCCTTTTCATACAAAAACTTGAATGGTCGTGGAGTGGTTAGGCGTAGGCCTTCTCCTATCCTGAGTGCTGACGTTTACCGTAGGGTTCTCTGTCGCAAAGCACTTACCATTCAAAACCAAAAACATCCTTAATAAGTGAATGAAGTTCTCTTTGCATCGAATTAAAGAGAGAGGATTGGGTGTAGACCTCTTCTTCTCCGAGCGTAGGGATGCCCACTGTAGTGAGGGTGGTTTTGACGCTCGTCTTTCAATACGAAGACGTCTCGTTCGCCACACTTTTTTATAACAAAAACTTTGAGATAATGAATTGGGTACTACCCGTAGGGGTTACTATCCGAGGACATGTCTCGCCCCCTAAAAACAATCCAATCAATCAAACGTGACTTCTTGCCCCGCGTGGCGAAAACTAATCAATCTTTCAAAAGGATATGTTACGTCCGTTCTACCACAAACAGGTAATGCCTAAGTCTCCAACGAGCGAGCTGCAAAACACCTAACTGCTAGAATGCGCACGATAGCATCATCCGTAAAAACATCAACACACCGTTAGCACGAACTACGTTTGCTCTGATTTCTCATGTCAGATGAGGATACGTAGGCACAAGACGGCGATGTCTTGGCGAGCTCCCTTTTTCACCTTTCACCCGTAGTTGGCCGAACTACGGCTGCTCTGATTCTTTACTTCTTTCAAGTAAAGATACGTAGGCACAAGGGCCACAATCCTTGTCGAGCACATTCCCCCCTATATCTGTAGTTCCCCGAACTACGTCGACTCTGATTTTCTCACATTTATTGAGAATACGTAGGCCTAGGACCGCGAAGTCCTACCGAGTCTGTCCTTTCTTTTCTTTCATCCGTTACCTCTCTTTCCCCGTTTCTAAACCTTTCTCTTTACCCCTTTGAAACACACTTCTTATAGCATAATGTTTAAAGCAAATAAATTCACACATCGACAAACAAAAGGTTCCCATCGAGTACGATGGATGCGAGGGGTGCTAATACCTTCCCCTTGCATAACCGGCTTCCGAACCCGTTCATGGTTGCGAGACCATCTTATCCATTTCTTTCTTAAGGTTTTCTCGATATTTTCCTTTCCCCTCATGGGATAAATAAAGTTCGGTGGCGACTCTTCTGTCTATCTTTTTCGCCTCCCCGTCGTTGCGCGATGCATTTTTTCGAGTAGCGACAGCTGGCGACTCTGCTGGGGATGTTCCTAGCAAGCCAAGCCTAATTTGTTTGTCGTGTTTGTGTTTTGTTTTTTCGCTTTAATTTATTTTGTGTTATGTTCTCTACCTGTTGGGTTTATTGCGATGGGTTGTAAGGATAAAGCTTTCTACCCGAGCTTTTGAGTATACACTAAGATTAGGAGGTGGCTTCTTTCTGATTTGCGAGACGTAGGACTCGTTGAATTGGTTTGAATTCCACCGCTCATATGAGACCCCGTTGGAACAATTATGTCTTACGTGTAGTCGTAACGGCGTCTTTATTTCCAATTGGGAGTCCTTGACTCTGAGGACCTTTTGTAGAACCTTATTCCGAAGGTTCCTAAAACATAACTCTGTGTTCATCCTTTGAAGGGATTACCGTCTTACGAGTAGTCGTTCTGACGGAAAACTTTTGAGGGTTAGTGCATGGGACTTTGTTTAAAAGCCTTTGGAATACCCTCTTATAAACCAATATATTACCCACCCGAGGTGAGAGGTATCTCGTTGTATTTTCTTGCAGAATTTGTGACTTTGATCCTTTGTGTGTTGCATTAGCACTTTGCATTGCATTTCATTTGCATCTCATTTTTTGCATATCCATCCTCAACCGGAGCAGAGAGCTTACCAGTCTTTTGTCCAACCCGCAGTTGATTTCCCGACATTCACATTGGATTTGAGTTAGCTTCTGGAAGGATCATGGACTCAGAGGAGCAGAATTTGGTTGTTACGAGGGCAGAGTTTGAGATGATGAAGAATCAGTTGGATCAACTCATGGAGGCCATGACAGCCAGGACAAGAGGAGAGACCAATGTTCAGAGGACTCCAGTGAACAATGTTGCTCGAGCTCAGCCTGTGCAGATTCCTGTCGAAGATCAAGAGCATACTATTGTCAGAGATAGAGATTCATCTTCTCTCCATGACTCGGACTATCAGAACTTCACTTTCTCTGTGCCAAATTCCCAAAGGGTTGTTCCAAAGATTAATCCTAAAAATCCACAGACTGCTGAGTTTATGAGAAGGTATCGTCTGTTGGATGAAAAGCTTGATGCTCTGATGAGTCAAAACACTCTTAATTTGAATGCTTCGAGCATGTGTTTGGTGCCAGGTCTTGTGATGCCTCCGAAGTTTAAGGCGCCCAATTTTGAGAAGTACAAAGGGGATAGTTGTCCGAAGCAGCATTTGGTGATGTATTGCAGAAGAATGACCTCGCATGTCCACAATAACAAGCTTATGATTCACTGTTTCCAGGAAAGTCTGAGTGGGGCATCGTTGAGTTGGTATATGCAGTTGGAAAGTAGTTGCATCAAATCATGGTCAGATTTAGCCAATGCCTTTGTGAAGCAGTACAATTACAATCTCGACATGACTCCGAGTCGCATTCAGTTGCAAGAACTATCTCAGGCG